CTAGGTAGGCAGCTCACTAGGTTTTAACACAGAGCTAATAAATCCGCCAGAACATCTCTTTTAAACTTAATGCAGTTTGTCACCTAGATAGAACATATTAATCTGAGCATTTGCAACTCCAACAAAGGATGTGGCTTATCATAGCAAGGATGTGGCTCAGCCGGCCCAGCTAAGACACAAGCTCTTTCACATTTCACAGACCTATGATCTATCTTTTAGTGACTAGGAGCTCTTTCCTTCTCTGGTTAGTATTCCATACTGCTGAGTCTGCCGCATGCGTCATAAGTCACCCAAAGCCAATAACTGTCCAAGTCCAACCCCCGCTGGTGTGCGTGTCTTTCACACTTGTGGTCGGATAAAGCACATTCTGAAGACGGAGGGCACAGCAGGGTCTTCGGGCCCCTCTACAAAAGATGGAACAGATTTCTCCAGTATCTCTGTTCTTTGCCCATTTCCTCACTCTCTTGCTGTTAAATGCAAAAGTAATACTCCCAGACATCCAGAGAGCGTTTTTCCCTAAACAGGAATTGACACAGACTATCCATTTCCGCTTGCAGCTGCCTGTGTGTCTGTTTATACACTGTGCAGATGCAAGACCTCTGGAGACCATGTGGGCTGGGTGATACAATGGTCATAAAACAAATGACAAATCAAATGCCTGCAGCTACAAACTGGAAAATACCTTACAGGAGGAGTTCATTAGTCATTTCAAAAAATGAAGCTCCTGTCATTATTTACTTGTGTAATTATACACCCGTATGACTGTCTTTCTTCCAATAAATATAAAAAGAAAACTTTTGAGGAATGGGGAGATTGGGGACTGTAACTTTTTCAACTTTAAGGACATAAAGCATCATAAAAAGTATCATGAACTCGAGAACCAAACTAACAGTGAAAAGATCAGAATCAAACGAACAATTCATTCACAAATGTATTTTTTGCTCACCATACATTAAAACATTATTACATTTATTATTATTTATAGTAACATTATAAAATGTATTTATTTTTAGTTATTTATTTTAAAATGTAATTTATTCCTGGTGGCAAATCATTAATCCAGTCTTAAGTGTCACATGATTCTTCAGAAATCATTCTAATATGCTGATTTGGTGCTCAAGAAGCAGTTATTATTATTAATAAAGATTAACAGTGCTGCTTAATGTTTATGGAAACCGTGATATTTTTCAGTATTCTATGAGTATTCTCTAGTTCAAAAGAACAGCATTTATTTGGAATGCAGAACTGTAGCTCTATAAATGTCTTTACTGTCACTTTTGATCAATTTAATGCATCCTTGCTGAACAAAAGTATTAATTTCTTTAAAACAATTGTACCGACCCCAAACGTATGAATGGTAGTGTATGTAGCTACTTAACTTGTGTGATTTGTTTTTATAAAATTTGTATTAAAATATTTAAGCAATACAAAAAAAATATTACTACTTAAAAAAAAAAATCCAAATCTATTATCAAATCACAAGCAGATTTTACATTTGTCCTGTCTGCTACTGGTCGACAAACAGATGATGACCTTGCCTTAAACTCACAGTACTGGTTGAGCCAATGAGATTTAACATCAACGCTTGAGATGTTTTCAACATGAAAGCAATACAAAACAGCAAAGGTAAGAATCTAAATGATTAATGATGGCTGTACACATTGAGCATGCAGCGTAAGCACAATACATTAAGACCATCTGTTTGGTCCAATATAGTTCAGCTTGGTCAATAAACCATGAATGACCAAAGAGCTGCTGTTGCTGATGAATTCAAGGAGTCTAATGAGCACATAAAGTTAACCATACAGGCCGTCTCATTGCTATTCATAGGAAAGAGCACAGCCTGGTATTACAGAGCCTTTTCCATTTAGTAAAACCACCACAATCTCTTGTTAGAGAGTGACACTCATGCATTCAAGAGCAATGACTGTATCTAGAGCACTAGACCATTGTGACCCCTTCATTGCGGTTGCCCTTGGAGACCTCGGTGTGTTAATGAATTGACCTGTTTGTGAAGGGAATAGTGATGGGTCTCACCGATCACAAGTCGTTTGAAGTTTGACCTCGGCGACCCTATAGCATATCTCTAGTGCACGGCTATCAACAAAGGCCATCAATCCATAAGATGTAGAATACTAGAGTCTGCATCTATATTTGCAGTTGTGAGTGTTGGTATAATTCTTAGCTTTACCACATGATGCTAGCCTGGTTAAAACCAGACCATTCTCAGTTGTAACTGAGTTATGGTCTGGCAAAGCATCATAGACAAATCATTTCCAGAGGGGCGTCACCAACGGACATCGCGGATAGACCTAAAACCAATCAGAGCGATGAAGGAGATGAGGTATGCAGAGCGGCAGAGAAACATCTCCGAGTGTTGTTCTTTGCTCGGTTTTTAACAAAAAGGAAACGTTCAAATCGCTTAAAACAGACGTGATAGCTGATTCGAACGAGTGATGTTCGAAGGCGGCATCCATCTTTGTAATGTAGGCTACAAAATCTGCTTCAAAATCCCAGCGCTGTCGTCATCGTGTAAAGCCCGCCCCAACGTTTCTGATTGGTGCCGCGATTTCGACGGATTGTAAATGGGCTTGAATGAGCTCTTTGCCAGACTAACTTTCAGAGCAATTCTAAATATGCCGGAAGTTGTGCTGATGTTACAAACACATTTTCAATCCATATCTTCTCTAATGTGGCAAGACTGCTCAGTTCAAATGATAGTAAAAAAAAAAAAAAAAAAAAAAAAAAAAATTTAACTATTTTTGGTCATTGAAATAATGCTGAAATTATATAGGGCATATATATATATATATAAATATATATACATACACACACACACACACACACACACACACACACACACACACACACACACACACACACACACACACACACACACGTAGTATATTAGACGGAAAAACTAAATTTAAGAAATCGTATGTTTTAGTAACTAACTGGAATAAGTTGAAGTTGAAATATTAAATCACTAAAACTGAAACTGAAATAAAAAACAATTAAAGTTACATAATATATATATATTTTTTTCAAAAGAATAAAAATAAAAAACATTTAAAAACAAAAAAACATAAACAAACTAAAATTAAAATAAAAACTGAAAATATAAAAAGCTAATTCAAAATATTAATAAATACTAAAATAACACTATGTCATTATTCATGTTGTTCCAGACCTGTATGATTTTTTCTTTCTTTTGTGAAACATGAAAAGAGAAATTTAGCAGAATGTGGCAGCTGCTCTTTTACATACAACGAAAGCGAATGGTGACGGAGGATGTAAAGCTCCATAAATGACCAAAAAGTACCTGAAAATAACCATAATCATAAATGTCATGCCATATTCTAAGTCATCTAAAGCCATGTAGCTTTCTGTTTAAAAACATTTTCTTTAAATGCGTCATATACAGTACATTTGAAAACAGTGACGCCGCCATTGGATCTCACTTGTCTTGTAAACAATCGCGACGCGAAGTTTAAACGTGCAAGCATGAGATTTAAGAATACTAACTTTAATTTTGGTATGTTTCTCGTCTGTAGACTTGCACCATGGTAACTTTTGTCATTTTTTCAGCTTGACATCCTCTGTCCTCATTCATAGCCAGGACATCTCCTGTTGCGTTTCACATTTAAAATAAAGTAATACAGGTTTAGCATGAAATCAGGAGCCAAACCCCAAAATGTATGTGTATCATATTTTATGAAGACTAAGATTGTATTTATGACCTAGTACAAACAAACATATTTGTCCTTATATTTCAAACAACATGCCCAGGCTTCCTGCAGGCATGCAGCGATCAGATATCAGACTACAGCAATCTAAGTCTCAGATGTCATATATCCCAGTCTACAGTGACACCAGATCAGTCCTAAATGAGAAACGATTTTCTAAGCTGAAAATGAATTATGCACCTTAAGAGCTCTCAAATAACCTCGCTATGTCTCAATACATAATCATCTACGGGAGAAATCGTATAGCCTAAACATGGCGAGCCAGAAAATATACACAACCATACAACAAAAAGCAATTCAGATGTGTTTATAATGCATATTGAACACTGATTGCATTACATTTACAATGCAAGATATATGCCATGCTTAAAATGCAATATGTAAGAGATAATGTACTGTCAGTTGGTCATTATTGTGACTGTCAGACAGTCTATATGAAAGATGGGGGTGGGAGGGATACACTGGTCTATACATAAATATATAAATAAATGGACATGAAATATTAATTTGAGATTTTAGAAAGAAGCTTTCAGATTTGCCTGAAGCTTCAACTAAGTAAAATATTCCATAACATCTGTTAAGAAAAAAAAATTGTTCATTGGGAAAAGAAAATTTCAACATGAACACTGCAACAACATAACAATACTAATTTAATAATCTGCAACTTTATGTAGCGTTTCTGTTATGTTGATGTACACAACAGTGAAATACAGTTAAGCAATCATTGTACATAATGCATAAAATATTTCATACATTAATGATGCGATTGACTCATCAATTTTCTTTAGACCTGCGTATGAAAAACTGGCTTTTATTTCAAGTGTGTAAAAAAAATACGCATTTTGTCAACAGTTTAGTTGCAAAACTACAACGGAAAATGAAATATGTTGAGCAGCATATTACTTAAATTCGTTATTTACTTTTAATGTAAAAACTTTAACATTGACCATTTTCAAAGAAAAATTGTTAGTCTGTAGGCTACAAAAGATTTATTTGATCAAGTATATGAGTCTTTGTAGCTCGTCTGCAGTGCAATGGTCTGCAGTGCTGTATACGGTACATAGGATGAATGTATGTGATGATGGCGTGTAATGCATACATCATGCTACACAAATCACTCGACTATAGATGAATGGAATAATCTACCACACAGTTTTGGTCAAATGTACATCAGTTGTTCAGAGAGAAAAATGACAAACATGCAAAAATACAGTATGTTAAAGCTCTAAACGAGTATGGGAAACGAAGAAATACCTTTTCACTGAGTCGCACGATCTGATTAATTTTTTCTTCATCTTGAAGGAGCTCCCGTAGTTCACTGCTATTGAGGACCCTGTACCCATCTGGGTAAGAGTTCACGTCCCTTGTCTGGGACATTCTTGTCCCCGTGAGGCGCACTAAACAACTCCGTTTGCCAGCCATTTAACTTCCATTTTGCTCATGCTCGGCGCCAAATGTACTCGAACACGGGAGTGGTGCTGGAGAAGCTCTCGTCGGCATGAAGGAGCACCACGGACTGTTAGCGAAGACAATGCGCTGAGAGACTATAGCACACGTTTACAGATTCACTCAGTTCCACATTCCACCGCGAGGAGGCGCTGCGCCGCACCAGTTACAACGCCATACATACTGTACAAAATACAGAAACCAGCTACATTCTGCAGAGATAGTATAGTGCGATTCTTCATAAAAAAATAAAATAAACGACTATAACTGATCCAAGTTCTTTTTATCTTAAGCAAAGGGATATTCATTTATTTTAATCGTTATAAACGCATACATTTCTAACTATTCAGATTTTTTCGTGTTGATGGGTCGAAATCATCATGAAGTGCCTTTGAGACTTCACAATTTCCCAAATAAAAAGCTGAGATTTTAAATTTAACTTCATATTTGTTGTATTAAGGAGACATTAGGCAGTTAGAAATGCATGTTGATCACTTTTAATAAATTAACTGCAAGTACGAGCAAACCACTAAATATCCACCATGGACAAATTCAAAGTGGAGTAAAATACATTTTCATTGCATAATGGTTATAAAATGTAAATGTTTTCAAAAAGATATTTAGTCCCTTTCTCAACAATGCATTTTAGTTAATGGGAAAAGTCTTTTGATAATAGTGAAATTACGGCAAAATATTTGTTTCCCTATAAAATATGAGATAGTTGCTCTTTTTTTTTCCACATAAAATCTGACAACAAAGATGGTTAACTAAAACTATTAAACATCGTTTTCGTTACTTGAAATAAATAAATGATGAAATAATAAATAAATAATAAATTAAAAATATATATTATTAATTATATCTATTTTCCCTTTACAACTTATTGAAATCAGTTTAGTCACCATTAAATCAAAATTGACAATTATTTTTATGGAATATTGCAGTGTTTATTATTAACGATTTATCCATGCACATTATTCTTATTCTTAAATTCATGTGCCCTCATAATCTTTAATGGTTGTTTTGTTTTCTCTGGGATGGTCATTTTACGCACATTACAGTAAACAACAATAAAATATACAATAAAAGATGCCATTTTGGTCATTATCGCAAACTAAACAGAGTATGTAGAATATATATTTGATTCTAAAATGCTATTTTCTAAATTAATAAATGTAAAATATTATTTATAATGTTTAAATTGTATTATTTATCAGCTTTTTAACTATATGTCCAAATTAATATATTCTTCTCTTTTCAGTGTAGGCTTAAACACTCCCTAATAAACTACAAACCCCGCGATTCAACAGAAAAGGTCTAGTCGTGTAGCGTGATCCTATTGGTGGATTTCTATGACGTCTTTATTCTACGACAAGACAGAAAAACATGGCGTCGTTCGCGGGAGATCGCTGGAGGGAAGCGCTCAAGAACCACGATATCTTTAATAAATTACAAGAGAGCCTTTATTTAGAGCCTCAGGGGACTAGCAAAAGAATAGCCAAGAACCTAACGTTTTGTCTGAACGGCGACCTTTTTACATGGGATACTGTTGAGAGTGTTTTTTACACCACAAACCTGCGACAGCTGAACGCTGACGGCGACACAGACACTTCTAAATACCAGGTGAGTGAGCGTCTTTAAGTAGTGTCTCTCTGGTGTAGTCATTTCACGGACAGTGTGCAATAGTGACCGAACTCTCCGCAGACTCTGCTGTGCATCAACCCGCCGCTGTTTGAGGTTTGTCATGTGCTCGTCAGCCCGACGCAGTATCATGTGGCTCTCATCGGTCAGCGTGGAGCGACTATACTGGAACTGCCGCAGCGCTGGGGAAAGAGGTCCGAGTTTGAGGGTGGACGGCTCCAGATCAACTGCAAGTGAGTGAACTTCAGCTTTAGGAGAGCTGCATTCATTCCTCCATCTGGTCCTTTGGTTTTATATGTTTTCTTCTTCACAGGACGATTCCAGTGGCTGAACGCTTCTTCACCAGTTCTGCTTCTGTGACACTCCGACAAGCTGCCTGGTATCCCAGTGAAACTGAGGAGCCTCATCTAGTTTTACTGACCTCAGATAACACTATCAGGTATCTGAAATAAATGACTGACAGCGGTGTTAAAGGGATAGTTCACCCCAAAATTAAAATGTGTCATCATTTACTCACCCTCAAGTTGTTCCAATCCTGTATGAGTTTCTTTCTTACGTTGAACACAAAAGAAGATATTTTGAAGAATGCCAGTAACTAAACAGGTGACGGCACCCATTGATGTTTTTTTTTTTTTTTTTTTTTTTCTACAATGGAAGTCAATGGATGCTGTCAACTGGTTACCAACATTCTTCAAAATATATTAATTTGTGTTCAACGGAAGAAACTCATACAGGTTTGGAACAACTTGAGGGTGAGTAAATGATGACAACATTAGAATTTTATGGCTGAACTATCCCTTTAAAGATGTCTCTCTGAACAACAGAATTACTGTTATTATTGTACTGGGGTTGTTTAAAGAATGTTTTTCCCTCCAGATTTTATAATCTTAAGGAACCGCAGTCCCCTGCCAAAGTTTTATCTGTGTCTCAGTTGGATGAGGACAGCAATGTTCATACAAGAGGGTAAGATTGGCAATTTTCTACCAAACAACAATTTCCCTGCTATATTATTCATTTTATTAGAAGGTTTTGCCAGAAGCTATGAGTATTCTACTTGGATTATTGTTAGCTAAAACTAAAGCCATTTGACATCAAATAAACATTAACTGAAATAAAATAAAATGTTAAAAACAACTTATTGTCTGACTTAACCGTCAGCTAGTTGCCAAGGCAGCATTTGTCATTTTCGTTTAGTTGAAGTACTAAAATCATTACAAATGAATAAATTAAAACTAAAACTTAAAAACATTATAGGCATATTGGTAACACTAATAATAATGTTTCATAATTTGCTCAATGCATTAACCAACAGCGAGCAAACCATTTGTTACAGTATTTTTTTTACCTTTGTAACATTAGTTAATAAAAATACAATTGTTCATTGTTAGTTCATGTTAGCTCAGATCCATTCAATATTAACTGATACAACTTGATTTTTATAATGTATTAGTAAATGGCGAAATGAATACATTTTATAGAAGTATTTTCATTTCATGTAAACTAATGTAGTTAATTAACAAATGAAAGCTTATTGTAAAGTGTTACTGACATATTTTGAAAAAAAAAACTATAAAAAGACTAAATGCGTAACAAAATTACTAAACCTAACTAAAAGTAAAATGAAAACAGCAAATATAAAATCTAATTCAAAATATTAACAAAAACTATGGTAACACTTTATTTTACAGTGTCCTTGTTATGTTACATGTAGTTGCTGTAGTAATAGTAACTAATAATTATGCATAATTACATGCAACTAACTCTAAACTCCTAGTCCTAACCCTTTAGTCAGTAAATGTAGTTAATTATTATTACTCAGTCAGTACTTAAATGTATAATTACACTGTAACATGGACAACTTGAAATAAAATGCAACCAAATCTATAATATAGATTAAAATAATATACAAATATAAAATGTATAATATGAAAAATGATATAGTAATAACACTGGCTTAAATCTAAAAATGAGGTGTTAAGATATAAATGTACTGATAAAGACCAAATAACTGAAGTGTTGTTTTCGTGCAGACGTTCCTATGCAGCGTCTCTGGGAGAGACGGCTGTGGCGTTTGACTTTGGGCCGCTGGCGGATTCTCCTCGCCTGAGCAGTTTGCGTATGAAGGCAGAGCTGCAGGTGTATCCACTGTACATACTGTACGGGAATGGAGAGACATTTTTGACTTATATCTCTCTCACACACAGGTAACAATCACATGTCTATAACTGTGCCATGATGCCTTAAACAATACTCATTGGAAAATACAGGGTTACTACACAGTTTGGACAAATATGGAATTTGATTTCCAGGTCTGGATAAGGATGGAAAAAAGAAAACAGAATATGGAAACATATTTGTCTTTTCATACTATCGACACTAATCAGCAAAAAAATGTTTTTACAAGCATAGTGTTTTCATGGCAAAAGTTTAGTGATTGTCAAACTCCACTGAATGAATTCAAGGCGCACACTTCTGTTTGTAAGAGAATCTCTTTTGAACTTCACTAAAAAATGTGCAGCAGATATATGTTTGGTGATCATGCAACATCGAACCATATTTACAGTGTCAAACTGATGTGTCAGAGGTGAGTACATGCAGGTTATAAAGCGTTTCAGGTTTCTTCTCATCATGTAAGCGCATGTTATCACTTCAAGAAAACCCAAACATCTTTGAGATTTTTCAGACCATATTTAACATAAATAGTTCATACAGTATTGTTTTCAGCATTATATTTGGTATAATGTAAAGTCATCTGTAAATATTTGTATTTTTTTAAATTTGAGTCTGGAAAAGTATAGAATTTTGAAATGGAAAATATGTAGGAATCCTGTCGAAAAGTGAAAATGTAGATCCATACAACTGGAGTACAGTATAATATAGGTGAATATTATTAAACCAAGAATATGTCCAATAAAATAGTTTATAATCAGAACATGGTTTAAAATCAGGAGGAAATAAAAAGGCTTAAAGAAATTTGAGTGCATTTTAAGACTATTCTGAATTTTTCCAGTGTTGTTATTGCTAACTAAAACTATTAAAAATCATTTTCATTAGTATATAATAAAATTATAATATAAATAAAAAAAATATAAATATTAGAATGAAAAACTTTAACTTAAAAAACTTAATTAAAATGAAAATTTAACTGAAATAAAGTTGAAGGACTAAAATGACCAAAACTGAAATATAAAGCTAATTAGAAATGTAAAATTACAAAATTAAATTGAATACCAAAAATAAAAGGTAATTCAAAATATAATAATAGTATAGAATACTAAATATATAAAAAAAATGTATCTCTATTTTGGATTACCATGATGTGAAAAAAAAGTAAACACAATATGTATTTTAAATATATACATCATGATAGTATTTATTAGTACTGACTTTTTGAAAATGTGTGTGTATATCTATAATGTTAATTCCAACATTTACTACATTATTATACATTATTTAAATCAAACTTTGTATCTGTTAATATTATTTAATCGACTTGCTAACGTG